GGTGCCCCCAAAGTGTCCTGGTCACCCCCATGGTGTCCCTGCCACACTGTCCCCATCCCCTCCCTGTGGTATCCCTGTCCCCTCCGTGGTGTCCTGGCCATAGTGGTGCCCCCACGGTGTCCTCGTCCCCTCCGTGGTGTCCCCCCCACGCTCGCCCTGTGCCATCCCTGTGCCCCCCAAAGCCCTGCCCCAGCTCTGTCCCCGCCGTGGGGGTGGCAGTGCCCGGGGGGGGGGTGACGGGTGCTCCCCCACCCTCCCCTCCCCACCCCTGCGCGGTGCCCGAACCGGCCGGGCAAGGGTTGCGCAAGGCGGGTGCCGCGGGCACGGCCCCCCCACGCCCGGCACACCCCGCCCGGACTTCGGCCCCGGCCCGGCCCGACCCACCCGCCCCGACGCCCGAGCCCCCCGGACACCCCCGAGCGCAGGGGGCGGGGGGTCCCCCCGGGGTGAAGGGCTCCGTCCCCCCCGCGTGGGCGCACAGGGCCCCCTTTGTGCGCGGGGAAGGACGCGCCCCCTCCCCGCCACCGCACAAAGGGGCGATTGTGGCGGGCGGGCGGGGGGAGGCTGAGCCCCCCGAAACCGGTACCCCCGGGGCACAGCGGGGTGCGGGCCCCCCCCCGGCCCAGCAGACGTGACTCAGGGCCCCGGCGCGGGGGGGCCGCGGTGGGTAAAAGGCAGCTTTGTCCGGCCCCGAGACCCCTCCGGAGGCGGCTGCAGAGAACGGGCAGCTCGGTGCACGAACGGGAAGGGGCGCGGGGCCTGCAGCCCCCCCCTCGCGCTCCCCCCGCCTCGGCCGGAGCTATTTTAACAGGGAAAGGGGCTATAAAAAGGTCCCAGCTGTGTCGAGCGCGGCCCCCAGCCTCGACGCCCCGGCGATGGGCACAGCGGGGCCCAAAGCGGGGGGAGTGGGATCCCCGTGAAACACGGGGGGCGGGGGGGGCGCAGCTGGGACCTGCCTGGGGGTTCTCCAGGATGCCAGCGGGGCAGGATCCAGCCCCTCCCTGGACCCTCGTGGCTGGGAACGCTCAGTGTGTTTGGGCAAGGTGGTGAATCATTAACGGCTGCTCAACCAGTCCGACCTGACCCCCCGGGTACGAGGGGCTGCCGGTGCCCGACCCCCGGGGTGCACCTGCCCAGGGGGTGGTGGGGGGCGAGGCCGGGCCCCCCCGGGCGCCGCGGCGGCGTCGCGGCCGGGCGTTATCAGCGCGGGGCCTCGCTGGCAGCTCCGGCACGTCCCCGCTATCAGCCGCGTGCCACCGCGGCCCCCCGGCCCCCGCCGCCAGGAATAGCACCGGGGGGACCCGGCCGGGAAGGGGGGGCCAGACCCGACCTCCTGCCCTCGGCCCCGCCGGCGGCGGCACAAAGGGGTCTGTGTGCGCCGGGCCCGGCCCCAAACAAAGGGGGCTCTGAGAGAGGATGGGGACGAGGGTTTGGGGGGAGCAGCGCTGGTCCCGCTCCCCGTGGTGCCCCCGGGCCCCCCACTGTTCCCTCTCGGGGTGGGAGCCCCCCGTGTGATCCGGACCCCGTGGGTGGCACCCCCGGGGCGTCACCGGTGGCACACGGAGCAGGGGGGACACCGAGGGGTCGGGCGCGACCCCCGCACGCCCCCCGCACCAGAGCACCAGAGCACCCCCCGGCCTGTGGGGTGACGCGCCGGCCCCACCTGCGCGTCCAGCCCTCGGTGTTTTCCCTTTGGGGACTGAAAAACAACTCCCGGGCGGATCCGGCCCTTCCGGGGTGCGGGGGGTGCGGGGGGGCCGGAGCGGGCAGGGACGGGGGCCCCCCCCGAGGGGTCTCCCCCCCTCTGGGGTCCCGCCCTGCCCCGGCCGGATCCCGG